TGCATTTCAGGGGGATTCAGGCCCTCATGGTCCAGCTGGTAATCCAGGGCCACAGGGGAAGTCTGGTGATGCTGGGCAGCGTGGTCTGAGAGGAGAAACTGGACAACCAGGACCTCTAGGACCACAGGGGGAGAAGGTCGGTGGAGCTGCTGATCACACAGTGCTGTATGCTTTTAGCCTTAATCTCTTTGGTGTGATTTTCAACTAGTGAGTTTCATTTTCAGGGTCTCCAAGGCGTTGCAGGCCGTGCAGGAAATGCTGGAGCTCCTGGTCCTCCTGGACAAGCAGTGAGTTTAAGTCATGGTTTTATTACACTGTGAGAAGTAGCTAGGTTCAGCCAAGAGTTGCTATATTTAGCCTTGACTTTTGGTCCTGCCTGACCTTTGGATAGTTGCTTGAGACTGTTTGATGCACTGTTAAGTGAAGTTTTTGAAAAGGTAATCTGTCTGAGAGAGAATGAGAGAGAAGAACAGGAAGAGATAAAATTTATGATTTTATATGATCAATATCTTGTTTTCTAGGGCTCTCCTGGTACCGTCGGGGTGAAAGGGGACAAGGTGACTATCTAAGCCAACATATATTTTGTCTACCTGCTCAAATGTTGAATGGATTTTTTGAAGGGTATATATATGATTTCTGTTGCCAGGGGGAAGTTGGTGTTGGTGTATCTGGTCCCAGAGGAGAGAAAGGAAATCCAGGACCCAAAGTAAGACATAGGTTGCACTGTAATACTGTATCATTGAAATTATGATCTAACATGGACATGTCTCTGGAGGATAGAAACTAAGTCTGTCATGTTTGTGTATCTTCTTTTGTCTGTCATGTCGTAGGGCGAGGAGGGTCGTGCTGGACTGAAAGGGGAGAAAGGGCCAACAGTAAATATCAAGTGTTATCCATCACTCAGGAACACAACATACATCAACAGAGCCTTTCAACCAAAGCTTTCAGCATCTCTTTCAAGGCTCTTTTTTCAAAATGTCTAATCCACCAGGAGGCAGTCTGTATGGAGGCATAGAGAGAGAAGCAGCTGAATAAATCTTTAATTGATTTAAATTTATCACTATGATCACTGTTTAATCAGACTTTAGAGGAGTTATGACATTATTGTGATTTCAGTTTTGTTGTCTGACAAAGGGAAACTTCCTTAGGGCTAAAAACATGCATTGTTGTTTTTTTTTTTATTGTGAAGTCATATATAATGGAGCATGTGTGTTTCTATGAATGCAATAATTCAGTAACACCTTGAGGAAATTTCTTCAAATTTGGTACAAACGTTCACTTGGACTCAAGGATGAACTGATTAGAATTTGGTGATGAAAGGTGAAAGGTCAAGGTCACTGTGACCTCACAAAGAAACATTCTTGGCCATAAATCAAGAATTCATGTGCTAATTAACCACAACTTGAGTGGTTGATGGAAGCATACAACTGCAAGGTGGTAATTCTAGATAATTTGCCTGAAATGAAAATAAATCCATGTGACAGTTGTGACAAAATGTGTGTTGCAGGGAGAGAAAGGCCAGACATGCCACTGTCAAAATCTAACTGTGACTGCATTTCAGGGGGATTCAGGCCCTCATGGTCCAGCTGGTAATCCAGGGCCACAGGGGAAGTCTGGTGATGCTGGGCAGCGTGGTCTGAGAGGAGAAACTGGACAACCAGGACCTCTAGGACCACAGGGGGAGAAGGTCGGTGGAGCTGCTGATCACACAGTGCTGTATGCTTTTAGCCTTAATCTCTTTGGTGTGATTTTCAACTAGTGAGTTTCATTTTCAGGGTCTCCAAGGCGTTGCAGGCCGTGCAGGAAATGCTGGAGCTCCTGGTCCTCCTGGACAAGCAGTGAGTTTAAGTCATGGTTTTATTACACTGTGAGAAGTAGCTAGGTTCAGCCAAGAGTTGCTATATTTAGCCTTGACTTTTGGTCCTGCCTGACCTTTGGATAGTTGCTTGAGACTGTTTGATGCACTGTTAAGTTTAGTTTTTGAAAAGGTAATCTGTCTGAGAGAGAATGAGAGAGAAGAACAGGAAGAGATAAAATTTATGATTTTATATGATCAATATCTTGTTTTCTAGGGCTCTCCTGGTACCGTCGGGGTGAAAGGGGACAAGGTGACTATCTAAGCCAACATATATTTTGTCTTCCTGCTCAAATGTTGAATGGATTTTTTGAAGGGTATATATATGATTTCTGTTGCCAGGGGGAAGTTGGTGTTGGTGTATCTGGTCCCAGAGGAGAGAAAGGAAATCCAGGACCCAAAGTAAGACATAGGTTGCACTGTAATACTGTATCATTGAAATTATGATCTAACATGGACATGTCTCTGGAGGATAGAAACTAAGTCTGTCATGTTTGTGTATCTTCTTTTGTCTGTCATGTCGTAGGGCGAGGAGGGTCGTGCTGGACTGAAAGGGGAGAAAGGGCCAACAGTAAATATCAAGTGTTATCCATCACTCAGGAACACAACATACATCAACAGAGCCTTTCAACCAAAGCTTTCAGCATCTCTTTCAAGGCTCTTTTTTCAAAATGTCTAATCCACCAGGAGGCAGTCTGTATGGAGGCATAGAGAGAGAAGCAGCTGAATAAATCTTTAATTGATTTAAATTTATCACTATGATCACTGTTTAATCAGACTTTAGAGGAGTTATGACATTATTGTGATTTCAGTTTTGTTGTCTGACAAAGGGAAACTTCCTTAGGGCTAAAAACATGCATTGTTGTTTTTTTTTTTATTGTGAAGTCATATATAATGGAGCATGTGTGTTTCTATGAATGCAATAATTCAGTAACACCTTGAGGAAATTTCTTCAAATTTGGTACAAACGTTCACTTGGACTCAAGGATGAACTGATTAGAATTTGGTGATGAAAGGTGAAAGGTCAAGGTCACTGTGACCTCACAAAGAAACATTCTTGGCCATAAATCAAGAATTCATGTGCTAATTAACCACAACTTGAGTGGTTGATGGAAGCATACAACTGCAAGGTGGTAATTCTAGATAATTTGCCTGAAATGAAAATAAATCCATGTGACAGTTGTGACAAAATGTGTGTTGCAGGGAGAGAAAGGCCAGACATGCCACTGTCAAAATCTAACTGTGACTGCATTTCAGGGGGATTCAGGCCCTCATGGTCCAGCTGGTAATCCAGGGCCACAGGGGAAGTCTGGTGATGCTGGGCAGCGTGGTCTGAGAGGAGAAACTGGACAACCAGGACCTCTAGGACCACAGGGGGAGAAGGTCGGTGGAGCTGCTGATCACACAGTGCTGTATGCTTTTAGCCTTAATCTCTTTGGTGTGATTTTCAACTAGTGAGTTTCATTTTCAGGGTCTCCAAGGCGTTGCAGGCCGTGCAGGAAATGCTGGAGCTCCTGGTCCTCCTGGACAAGCAGTGAGTTTAAGTCATGGTTTTATTACACTGTGAGAAGTAGCTAGGTTCAGCCAAGAGTTGCTATATTTAGCCTTGACTTTTGGTCCTGCCTGACCTTTGGATAGTTGCTTGAGACTGTTTGATGCACTGTTAAGTTTAGTTTTTGAAAAGGTAATCTGTCTGAGAGAGAATGAGAGAGAAGAACAGGAAGAGATAAAATTTATGATTTTATATGATCAATATCTTGTTTTCTAGGGCTCTCCTGGTACCGTCGGGGTGAAAGGGGACAAGGTGACTATCTAAGCCAACATATATTTTGTCTTCCTGCTCAAATGTTGAATGGATTTTTTGAAGGGTATATATATGATTTCTGTTGCCAGGGGGAAGTTGGTGTTGGTGTATCTGGTCCCAGAGGAGAGAAAGGAAATCCAGGACCCAAAGTAAGACATAGGTTGCACTGTAATACTGTATCATTGAAATTATGATCTAACATGGACATGTCTCTGGAGGATAGAAACTAAGTCTGTCATGTTTGTGTATCTTCTTTTGTCTGTCATGTCGTAGGGCGAGGAGGGTCGTGCTGGACTGAAAGGGGAGAAAGGGCCAACAGTAAATATCAAGTGTTATCCATCACTCAGGAACACAACATACATCAACAGAGCCTTTCAACCAAAGCTTTCAGCATCTCTTTCAAGGCTCTTTTTTCAAAATGTCTAATCCACCAGGAGGCAGTCTGTATGGAGGCATAGAGAGAGAAGCAGCTGAATAAATCTTTAATTGATTTAAATTTATCACTATGATCACTGTTTAATCAGACTTTAGAGGAGTTATGACATTATTGTGATTTCAGTTTTGTTGTCTGACAAAGGGAAACTTCCTTAGGGCTAAAAACATGCATTGTTGTTTTTTTTTTTATTGTGAAGTCATATATAATGGAGCATGTGTGTTTCTATGAATGCAATAATTCAGTAACACCTTGAGGAAATTTCTTCAAATTTGGTACAAACGTTCACTTGGACTCAAGGATGAACTGATTAGAATTTGGTGATGAAAGGTGAAAGGTCAAGGTCACTGTGACCTCACAAAGAAACATTCTTGGCCATAAATCAAGAATTCATGTGCTAATTAACCACAACTTGAGTGGTTGATGGAAGCATACAACTGCAAGGTGGTAATTCTAGATAATTTGCCTGAAATGAAAATAAATCCATGTGACAGTTGTGACAAAATGTGTGTTGCAGGGAGAGAAAGGCCAGACATGCCACTGTCAAAATCTAACTGTGACTGCATTTCAGGGGGATTCAGGCCCTCATGGTCCAGCTGGTAATCCAGGGCCACAGGGGAAGTCTGGTGATGCTGGGCAGCGTGGTCTGAGAGGAGAAACTGGACAACCAGGACCTCTAGGACCACAGGGGGAGAAGGTCGGTGGAGCTGCTGATCACACAGTGCTGTATGCTTTTAGCCTTAATCTCTTTGGTGTGATTTTCAACTAGTGAGTTTCATTTTCAGGGTCTCCAAGGCGTTGCAGGCCGTGCAGGAAATGCTGGAGCTCCTGGTCCTCCTGGACAAGCAGTGAGTTTAAGTCATGGTTTTATTACACTGTGAGAAGTAGCTAGGTTCAGCCAAGAGTTGCTATATTTAGCCTTGACTTTTGGTCCTGCCTGACCTTTGGATAGTTGCTTGAGACTGTTTGATGCACTGTTAAGTTTAGTTTTTGAAAAGGTAATCTGTCTGAGAGAGAATGAGAGAGAAGAACAGGAAGAGATAAAATTTATGATTTTATATGATCAATATCTTGTTTTCTAGGGCTCTCCTGGTACCGTCGGGGTGAAAGGGGACAAGGTGACTATCTAAGCCAACATATATTTTGTCTTCCTGCTCAAATGTTGAATGGATTTTTTGAAGGGTATATATATGATTTCTGTTGCCAGGGGGAAGTTGGTGTTGGTGTATCTGGTCCCAGAGGAGAGAAAGGAAATCCAGGACCCAAAGTAAGACATAGGTTGCACTGTAATACTGTATCATTGAAATTATGATCTAACATGGACATGTCTCTGGAGGATAGAAACTAAGTCTGTCATGTTTGTGTATCTTCTTTTGTCTGTCATGTCGTAGGGCGAGGAGGGTCGTGCTGGACTGAAAGGGGAGAAAGGGCCAACAGTAAATAGAGAGAAGCAGCTGAATAAATCTTTAATTGATTTAAATTTATCACTGTGATCACTGTTTAATCAGACTTTAGAGGAGTTATGAAATTATTGTGATTTCAGTTTTGTTGTCTGACAAAGAAAAACTTGCTTAGTGGTAGAAACATGCATGTTTTTTTTATTGTGAAGTCATATATAATGGAGCATGTGTGTTTCTGTGTGTTCTTCAGGGACCCCCAGGGATTCCTGGTACTCGAGGAGAGAAGGTGAATACTACCAGTCCTTTCCCATTTTTACGTGTGATTGTTCTTGTGTTTCAGATACATGGGCCACACATGGTCATTGAACAGGCTGTGGGGTGTGGCACCGTGTAGTTTCCATAGCAGCTGCTAGTTGTGTGTGCTGAGCTTTTAGTTCATGTAAAGCATCTGAATAAAATGTTTTGATCTCAATGTTTTTATCAGGGAGATGTTGGACTGCAAGGTGACAGAGGACAGAAGGTGTGTGCATTTTAATATCTAATAAGATCCACTACTGCTCACTCTCCTTCTCTTGCTTGTCTATTTGTTCATATTGGTAAAGACGACAGTGAGACAAAAATGAAGGAGAACGAAAGTAAGACATGCTGTGTTGGCAGTGGCTGTTTTGAGAGAGCTCTTCTAAGAGACTCATTGTGTTGGGAGCAGGAGGAATATATGACCATATAGTTTTCAGTACATCTGTCCCATTTCCATG